TCGCATCCTCACGCTTCTCAGGCGGGGCCACGCCGGACGGAGCCGGCACGCGGGTGGGCACAAGTGAGAGAGTGATACTTACACTGTTACCCTTGGGACCCGGAGGGCCGCTGGGGCCCTGGGGTCCAGAGGGGCCTCGGGCACCAGGGAAGCCAGGAGCGCCAGCAATCCCAGGAGCGCCCTGTGGGAGGCAGAACAGGTTGAGCCCCGGAGCGGAGGGCGTGGGGCAGGGGGGAGGGGGGTGCCGGGGGCGGCTCTGAAAGCTGCAGGATACTCACGTTGGCACCTTTGGCACCAGGCTGTCCGTCAGCACCGGGGTTTCCCTGTGGCCCGGAGAGAGGAGGGTGAGTGACAGGAGAGGACTCTGAATTGGGGGGTGGCACGGGGGCACTGAGGAGCACTTACAGCAGGGCCAGCAGCACCAGCAGGGCCGGGGGGGCCGGGCTCGCCACGCACACCCTGGGGACCTTCAGAGCCACGGGCTCCTTGGGGACCGGCTTCACCCTGGGTAGGAGACAAGGACAGGTCAGGAGCCCAAGCGCGTCTTTGGATGCCGGGAGGTGAGGGTGGAGGGCAGGGACAGGAGAGCAGGAATTAGGACTCCAAGATCACAGAAGAGGACCTGAGGACAAAGGTGCTGGGGCATGGGCTTCTCCGGGTTTGGAGAGCAGGGAGGCGCCCATCCCTTGGCCTGTGGGTGCTGGGCTCAGAGCGGGGGCAGGGATCTCACCTTAGCACCAACAGCACCAGGGAAGCCGGGAGGACCAGCGGGGCCAGTGGGACCCTGTGAACGAAATGGAGCCGTTAGTGAGAAGGAAAATGGCCACTGTGAGTCACACCCGGCGGCAGAAGAGGTCCTGGGATTCGTGGCCATGGGGCCCGCCCCCGGTGGGAGCCCCAGGAGCCCTCGGGGCTCCCAGGCACAGAGACCCGGGGGCTGTACTCACAGGGGGGCCGGCGGCACCGGTAGCACCGTCATTTCCACGAGCACCCTGCGGGAGAGAGAGGGGTGGCCCCAGTCACGTGCACCGAGTGCTGGCGGGTCCCCGCAACCCCTCAGGAACCCCTTCCAGTGCCCCGGGATCCCCCCAAGGGGCCAAGAGGACTTACAGCAGGGCCAGGGGCTCCGGGGCGTCCTCTCTCACCAGGCAGACCACGGGGACCCTGACGACAAAAGCCAGGAAAGCCGAGTGAGATCAGAGACACACTCTTCCCCCCAAATCCCATCTCGCCCCTCTACCCTGTTCCATCTCTTCCTCCTAGAACTGGACACACTCACCATCTGGCCAGGAGCTCCATTTTCACCGGGGCTACCAGGCTCACCCTAGAGAGCAGAGAATGAAGTTAGGAATTTGTTCGTGGTGGGACTGGGTGGTGGGGGCCCCGGATACTCAGGCATCCTCTTACCTTGGGACCAGCAGGACCAGCATCTCCCTTGGCACCATCCAAACCACTGAAACCCTAAGATAGGGAAGAAGGGCCAAGGTGAGTGCCGCTGGAAGGGGTGGACCACCTTGGCCCTCATGTTGACCTGGCAAGGTGCCTCAGGGGGTCACCACAGCCATCCCCCCTGTCTCTGCACTAGACTAGACCCCAACTGGCCCAAGATCTCACCCAATCCTATGGAGATTTCTTTCCCAATGGAGGGAAGTTCTCTTGGATGTCTACTCTCTATCCCTTGGGACTTCTGTAGCTGCCACCCCACCTCGACACCCACAGGAGGATCCTTTGGGGGAAGGGGTAGGATGGTGGGGTGCTACAAAGGGGACTTACTCTGTGTCCCTTCATTCCAGGAAGGCCAGCAGTTCCAGGCAATCCCCGGGCACCCTGGAGAGAAAAGAAAAGGAGGAGAAAGGCAGGGCCATTAGAAGATGCCACTGTGGACCCAGTGCCCAAGTGGAGCCCCCCTGTGGCGACGTCCAGGGCCGGCCACGCATTCCTGCTCACCTGAGGTCCAGGAGGCCCACGCTCACCAGGACGACCAGGCTTTCCAGCTTCACCCTGAGAGGGAGAGAAAAGGCCATGATGCCCATGCCTTGGAAACGTGTGGAAGGTCTGAATTTTCTTGGCATTGTTGAAGGTCAGGTTTAGGAGCCCAGAATCTTGTCTTTGGATTTAGAGCGCAGCTTAAATCTACAGTGAAATCCTTGCTTGGTGAATTTTGAGTCCCTCCGAGGGAATTTCTGTTTATTTTTGTATAGGGAGAGCAAATCTGAGGTGCCCAGGGCAGTCAAGCCTAAGGAAGTCATTCACCCCGAGGGACAGTGTTGGGGATTGCTTTGAAGTGGCTGGGGTGAGAGGAGGGTCAGTCACCTCCACTGGGGAAAGGGGGAACATCCCATAAAGGGTGAAGATCATTGTTCAAGGGCAGTCCCATGCATCAGGGAGAACTTGGCCTCCTTTCTCTGGGTATCACCTTCAAAGGTGGTGGGGCACTGGAGTGGAGATTACAGGAACCTAGCCCATGGAGGCATTGGGGGCTAGATGGGATCATCTTGCCTGGGTTACTTACGTCATCTCCGTTCTTGCCAGGGGGACCAGGGGGACCACGGGGACCCATGGGACCCTAGAGGAAACAGGAAGAAAGGAGATTAGAATGACCAGGATAAGGGGAAAAAAAGAAGGGGGAGGCTGGGATTGGAAGGAGGAGTCAAGGAAGACTTCAGATGGCAGGGGTGGAGGAGTCCTTCAATAGGACAATCCACATGTTTGTAGAGGGAGTATTTGGATAGAGTACAACTTGGGGGGGGGGTGGCACTTACTGAAGCTCCAGGCTCGCCGGGCTCACCAGGGGGGCCTTGGAAACCTTGGGGACCCTGGAGGACAAGGAAAGAGGGATTCAGTTAGGACAGGTCCCTGTCAGTCTTTCCCCATCTCACCAAGAGATCTCTCAGAGCACCTGACCTGCCCTCATCCCCGTCCTCCCTTCGAAAGACCAAAGCCCAGGGTGGTGTATGATGATATCCTGGATACTTACAGGTGCACCAGGGGGACCAGGGAGACCACGAGGACCAGAAGGACCCTACAGAAGGGGGAAAAAAAAAGAGCGGCCATGTTGATACCTCTGTAGGAAGGTGCAACATGGGTGTGATCTTGCTGTCTTCCAGGGGTTCCTGTTGGAGTGTTCCCACTTGTCTGGCATCCTCTCTGAATTTCCACTATAAACCACCTCTGAAACCACCTCTGAAATTCCCCCATAAACCACCACTGGCCCATCCTGTCTAGATTCCCACGGGCTCCTCTTCTGTCATCTCTGCACCCCAGTGGCTCACCATGGGGCCAGGCACAGAGATTCCTCCAGTTGACTTCTCATCGTAGCCGTAAGACATTTGGGGAGCAAAGTTCTAGAAGAAACAAGAGAGAGGAGAGGGCATGAGAAATCAGTGAGTTGAGAGGCAAAAACATCACTGACAATGGGATATTGACATATGCCTCCTGGCTTGATGCACTAAGAGGGTCAACAACATCACTTGTGAGATATTCCTGCCCAGAAGGCATGGCCCAACTCCAATTATGGGGACACATTCGGCCAACCTGAGCTGAGGGCCACTAAAATAATTGGCCTTTACGGAGCAACTGGCTTCTTCAAAAAACTCCAGGGTCATGAAAGGCAAAGGAAGTCTGAGGAATGTTCCAGAGTAAAGGAAACCGAAGAGCTATGACAATTAAATGCAATTTATAATCCCAGATCCAGAGAAAAGATGCCACAGAGGGTATTATTGGGATATTGGTGAAATTTGGATAGGGACTGTATATTCAGATCATAGTTATGTATCAGTGTTAACGTTCTGAAATGTAATCACTCTACAACGGTCACGTAAGAGAAAGTTCTTGTTCTCGGGAAATACAACCAAAGCTAAAGTAGTTTGGAGCAAAAGGACACAACATCAACAACTGATTCTGGAACAAATGGTTCAGAAAGAAATGTATATGTATACATAGAGACTGACAAAGCAAATGTGACAAACTGCGAAGGGTATGTGAGAGTTCTTGGCACTATTCTTGAAGCTCTTCTGTAAGTTTGGAACCATTTCAAAATACAAAGTATGCCATCTGCCAAAAACACACAAAAAACCAAAGAACAGGAGGTGAGGGGAGCACTCAGGGCCGGCCTGCCAGGAGTGTGTTGAATCTTCACTTACTCCTCCGAGGCCAGGGGGTCCGGGGGGTCCGGGAGGGCCGGGGGGTCCAGGAAGTCCAGGCTGTCCAGGGATGCCGTCGCGGCCAGGGGGGCCGGCAGGTCCCTGCAGCGGGAGAGGGCGGGCGGCGGTGAGCGCAGGCCTGGAGCCACGCCCACCTCCAGCCCCGACAGCAGAGAGCGCAACGCTTACCCTTGGGCCTCGGGGGCCAGTATCTCCTTTGGGTCCCTATGGGGTAAGGGGGGAGAAGAAGCAAAAGAAGTCGAGTTAGAGAAGGGAGGCGCTTGAGGACTCTGGGGCTGGGGGCCGGGGGGGGGGGGGGGGCAAAAGTCGAAGGCAGAGGATTACCTCGACTCCTGTGGTTTCTTGGCCGGTAGGTGACGCTAGGGGAGAAGACACGCGGGTGAGCGGCGGGGTTGCACCGGGTGCTCCCGGCGGCCCCGCCCTCCCCCAGCCCCAGGCCCCTCGCCGTACCCTCGCCGTCGGGGCAGACGGGGCAGCACTCGCCCGGGGGGACATGAGCGCCGGGGCAGTTCTTGGTTTCGTCGCAGATCACGTCATCGCACAACACGTTGCCGTTGTCGCAGACACAGATCCGGCAGGCCTCGGGTTTCCAAACATCTCGGTCATAGTACCTGAGGCCGTTCTGTACGCAGGTGACTGGTGGGACTGGGGCAAGAGGGGAAAGGAGGGGCTGTCAGCGGCGCTCGAACCCCCCCCCCCCCTCGGGGCTCCAGGGACCCCCAGCCCTACCCTCCTTTCCCGTTTGTCTTAGAGACACATTTAGATTTTCCATTTCCCGCCGCCTCCTTCACCACCGCCCTGCCCCCCAACCCTTTCCCCAAATCCTTAAAAGCTCATCTGCTCCTCATCAGGGCCGGTGACAGCGCCGAGGCGCCCGGCCAGGGCGGCTATAACTCTTTCCAGTTCTCAGGAATTTAAACAAAGCTTTAGGCCGGAGTTGCTTCCAACTCCAACACCAGCCCATCGGCGCTGAAGCCAAGTGAAATAAAAAGCCATTGGGTGGGGGAGGGGAGTTGGGGGACTCGGGAGGAGAACAAGAGGGGCCCCAACCAGAGGGCAGGCTCCTGGGGAGTGGTTTGGGTGGAGACGGGGGCGGGGACGGGTAGGAGGAGAGAAGGGAGGTCCAGCCCCCATTCCGCCCATCCCGGGGCAGGTGGGATGGCGTGGGCGGCGCCAGGAGGATGGGGCGGGGCCTATTGGCCTGAGGTCCCGCCCAGAGACTTGAATTATACCTCCAAAGTAGGATACACCCCACCCTCCAGCCACCAGACATCTCAAAAGCCCTCTCTCGGGACAACCCCCGTTTCCTAAACCTAGCCAGGACCTCTGGGTCACTCCTTGACCAAAGAACCAAAAAGTCCGCAGATAGTAACGAAGTTAGCTAACCACGCCCACCGCGCGAGCGTCTACCCAGACAGCCACTAGGTGGCGGGCAACACTAAGCAATTGCCTCGGCTCGGCCACTTCTTTCAGAGACTGAGGCTACCGGGTCCCCAGTTTTATTTTCCAGGTCTAGAGGCGGGGTCCACAACCGGCAATAGCGCCCGTCCACTCCACGCAGCCCCTGCGCGGGGAAGCGCTGGAAGGGGAGGCGCGGAGCTCCGTGCGGATCGGCAGAGGGCGCAGGGACCCCGCCCTGTCAACTCCGCGCCAAAGTTTCTCGTCCTCCAACCCGCCCACTCTCCGCGCCCCCTCCCCCCTCAGACCAGCACCCCCGCAGCCCCAGGAACACTGTCTAGCCTGCAGAGAGGGCAAACAATCTTTCCTTATGAATCATCCCAAGCCTTCCTGATCCCTTTTACATCTCGGGCTCCAAATTCCCAGCACGGCGCCCCCCATCCCATCTCCGACGTACTTTCCCCTCACCCGGCGCGCAGACCCCCATTTCCCCCGTGGTGCTCCACAGAGCGAGCCCGGGACTCCCTCCTGTGCCAATTCGGGTGGCGCTCCATTCTCCCCTCTCACTACCGGCGGGGCGGGGGGGGGGCGCGTTCCTCTACACCCCCCACCCAGGGTACACTGCCTTCTCTCCCGGGGCGCCCAGGAAGAGCCCTCGCCATCTCCCTTCCGTCCCTGAGTCTCCGGAGCATCCCGAGTCTTAGTTTAAGTCGCGGACCCCCGGGACAGAGCGCAGGGCGAGGTACCAAGTAGCCTTGGACTCCCCAAAAGTTTGCGACTTACTGTCTTCTTCTTCTTGGCCCTCCTCTTGGCCGTGCGTCAGGAGGGCGGTGGCCGCTAAGAGGAGCAGGAGCCGGAGGTCCACAAAGCTGAACATGTCTAGACCCTAGACATGTAGACTCTTTGCGGCTGGGGTGGGGGTTAGCGTCCGCTCATGCGTGGCCTCACACTCCGCGTGCCTCCTGCTCCGACCCCGAGGAGAAACTCCCGTCTGCTCCGACGACTGGCCCGGGCCCTTTTTATACCATCCTGACGGAGTGCGGGGAGGAACTCGGTCCCTGGTAGAGGGGGAGCCGGCCGCCCGCCCCCCAGCCAATCAGAGCTGCCTGGCCCGGCCCCCAATTTGGGAGTTGGAAGGGAGAGGGGGAGGGGAGGACGGGGAAGGGAGTCCACCACGCATTTCCCCCTTCGAAGGGCTGCCTCCCCAGCCCCCCCAGCCCAGGCTGGGCCAGAGGTGCTGCTGCGGAGGGACGGCTAGGTCCTCAGTACAGTGCGGGCTAAAGACTGGGTCGTGGGGCCCCCTTGGGCTTTCTTCCTGGGATCCCTCTGTCTGGGGGATCTGGAACTGAGGGGCTGGCAGGGGAGCCTTCCCGAGGTGGAAGGACTGGGGGTGATTGGGAGAGGGCCGTCCTGGCCATGCCTCATTCGCCTTCCTGACCTGTCCCGCCACAGCTAAGGGATGGGTAGGAAGACACCAGGTTCTCCCTCTAAAAGATGTGCCCGTTTAGGGGTGTCTTCTGGTGTGGCTGGGATATGAAGCTTAGGCATATTTGGGGAGCACGTTAGAGATTCCTTTGCAGACATTAAGAATCAGATACTTGGCGGGGGGGGGGGTTGTTGGCCAGAAGGGGTTTATCTTGAGGATGTCTATTCTGCCATGCTTGAGGCTTCAGGATGGAAGCCTGGAACGCTCTCCCCCAAACCCGAGGCGTGACTGAGAGAGGATGGGTTGGGGAGGCTGAGGCCCTGGATGAGAAATTTGACTGCGTGGTCTCTCCAGAAGGAGGCTTGGTGGTTAAGTGGCCGGGCAGCCGAGTGGTCGTGGGAAGTTGCTGGGACTCTTTTACGCCCAGGCGAGTGGGTTTGCATGGGAGCGCCAAGATCACCGGTGACCTAGAAAAGGGTCCTCTGGGGGTCCGCCCAGGCTGCAGCCAGGGCCTGGTTAGAGACCCCCGTACACAGCATAGCGGAAGACTTGGGTGGAAGGCACTGGGTCCGAGAGAGGGTGCTCCTTCGGGAGCTGCGGAAAGCCGCTCACTGCTTGTACCTGGACTTGAGGTTGGGGACAGAGGGAGAATTTGGGTGTCGGGGGGGGGACTAGGCTTTGGGGGCTCAGGTTCTTCGGTACCCTGCATGGAGGTGAGGATCCCAAGAACAACAGGCTCTATCGGGGGGGAGATGCCCCCAAAGCTAGTGTCCTCCCCTGCCCGTGTCCCAACCTCCCAACGGCACCCTACCCTTGGCTCTACCACAATCTGTGGGCCCAAGAGAAGCCAGTTGGGGTCCCTTGCAATGCCCGTCAACTCCAGGCCCTCTTGCTTTGCGGCCCCCACCCCCATCCTTCCAGAGCTGCTAACGTGGAAGCGGGGAGTCCCCGCCTCCCCCAAACCATCCAAGATTCCATTGCCTCCCCCCCACCCCGCCCCTCTCCACGCCCTCCCCCAGCTGGTTTTGTGCAACGAAGGCAAAGGAAAAAAAAAAAAAAAAAAGACCAAGGGAACAGAAGGGGAGGGAGCCACGTCGGCGTGGGCCGTGGGCAGCCAGGATGAGCGGTGCGGGTGGGGCGGCAGAGGGAGAGTGCAGGGGCTATAATTAAAGGGAAAATATAGAGTTTCCAGAGAGGCAGGGCTGCAGACAGCAATGGAGGGACGGGCCTTCATCAATTATCCTCACCATGTGGCAGCAGCTTGTGGCCCAGGGTCTGCCCCCACCTAGTGCCAGTGACTGAAGGGCAGGACAGGGGCTGAGGTGCTGAGATGGCAGTTTCTGCACCCCCCCCCCAGTGTGGGTCAGGGTCAAGGGGCGCCCCTCCCCAACAGAGGACAAGGGTCCTGTCGCTTGGCAGTGATCCCCTGGGGCAGGGCGTCACAGGCTTGGGGTGAGGGTTGGTGCCTCATGCCAACCTCCCTGACTGACTCCAGCCTGCAGTCCCCTGGTCCAGGCTGTCCCACGCCTGTCTTAAAGAAGAGATTAAGCCTCGGATGAGAAGTAGGAGCTTGGAGTTCTTGGGCCCGGAGTTCTGAAGGATGTTCAGGGACCCCTGAGGTTGGCGGGTGGTGTGTGTGTGTGTGTGTGTGTGTGTGTGTGTGTACCACTGCCTCAACATCCAGTTTCAGACTTCTGTCCCCGGAGCTGCGGGGAGAGGCTTTCCAAGCATCCTTTACACTCTTTTACACGTGGCACAGAGCGGAGGCCCAGGGCCTCCTCTGCCACTTTCGACTTGAAACGCTTGGCGGGCACCCAGCCCAAAGATGTGTCTTTAATTTCTGCAGCATGACAGCGAGAGGAAGAATGTGCTTGGGGTCTCCTCCCAGCCTGGCTGGGCCTCCTTGGGTTTGAGACTTGGGGGGGGGGGGCGGAGGGACGAGGGAGGGAGCTGGGAGAGGGGAGGAGATGCCACCTCATCTTTAGGAAACTCTGAAGCTCTGGCTTCTTCTGGAATGTTAGGCTTTGTCCGGCATTTGGAGTTGGGGGGGGAGCAAAAGCCAAAAATCTCCCCCCCCCCCCACCCCGCACACACATCCCAAGCAATGGTAAAGTCATCAGCACTTAGGGAAAAAAATTCCTCAAGAAGAAAAACAGAAAGAGGAAAATGCTGAGCTCTGAGTTCTCTGCTTCTCCAAATTTCCCCAAGTGCCCTCCCTCCATGAGAGAGAGGGCAGGCCTGGGTGCCCCAGCTCCCCCCCTCCCTCGGGACCTCCCCACCCAGGTCCCCCGTCTGGACTCTGTGGTGTGCGGCAAGGACGCAGTGGTGCACCTGGGGGCAGTGGGGGTTGGGGATCAGCCCTTTCCAGCTGCTTTGACTCTCCTTCCCCAGTCTGACCCTCCAGAATGCCCCTCTACCCCACCCTGGCCGCAGCTGGTGATAGAGGGACCCTAGGAGAGGGTTGAAGAGAGAGAAGGGGAGGGGTTCTGAGAGTGCGACTGCAGTGGAGAGCTTGGTCTCCACGGGGTCCTGTCGAGGGTCCCTGGGGACAGAGTCTGGGGCAGACCCCAAGTGTGTGGGATCCTCTCTTCCTCCCTTTCCTCAGCTTGCCACCCCCCGGGCCCTTGGGGCCTCAGCGAAGTTCTTTGGCTTCCAGGCCGGGCTCTGTTCTCTCTCAGCCTCAGCCTCCATCCAAGTCCCTCAGCCTTCCGAGATGTCCCTCCGTCTCTTCCATCCTTTCCAGGCTCAGGGGGAAGGTGAGGAAGGAAGCCTGTCCACGTGGAGTGTTAGGTGCCGCGAGACGTCCGGTCAGCAAGGTGCGGGAAACCCGTGGGTGGCTGGGTCTGGAGCTCAGAGGAAAGCCCTACGTGGGACCCCAGGATGGTGGTGTGGAGGGAGTCATCATGGAGGCAGGAGCGGTGAAGGGCTGGGATGAGCCTGAGGACCCTCATGGCTGCACTCCATCTTAGCCAAAAGGCCGAGAAGCGATAAGGACCCTCATGGTTGAAGGGGTGGGAAGGGGTGGAGGAGCCCCGCACGGGAGACAGGACAAGAGTGGGAGTAGGAAGGCGCGGAGGACAGGGTTGGTGGGTGCAAGGGGAGATTGTTCTAGAAGGATGAGAATTAGATGCTGCAGAGAGAATTAGTACAAGGAGTGGAATGCTCCCTGGGTTTGGCAACATGGCGGTGATTGATTAGCGCCCTAAGTTTCGGTGGGTGGCGAAGCCACACTGGAAGGAGCTGGGGAGCAAGTGGGAGGCCAGGAAATGGGGTCGGAGAGCTCCGGGGCTTGGAGGAGGAGCTTAGCGGAGAGGGGAGGAGAGTGAGTAGATGCCCCATCCTCCCTCCTGTCCTTCTTTCTTTGCCTGCTCGGAGCCACCCCCACTCCTGTCTGTCTGTCTGTCTTCTGCCTCCCTCCTCTTTTTCTTCCAGGAAACTGTGTTTCTTTCCCCCACCCTTCCCTCTCCTGAGCTCTTTTTCTGGATCCCCCTTGCTTTTGGCCCTCTCTCCCCTCGGATACCCACATCCAGGCCCAGCCGGCACCCCGTTCTCTTCTAGAACGTGCCCTCAGCCCGGGCTCTTGAAGAGAACGCTTGATTTCTAGCCCTGGCAACTATTCTTGGGGTGAGGGGCCCAGTCCAGGAGGGGGGAAAAGGGAGGGGCAGGGGAGCCAGGGAAGGGGCTGGAGCGTGAGCCACCAGTGACATCAGGACTCCCGAGGCCCACTCCGGCCACCCCTACCAGGTCTCCTCCAGGTCCCAGATGAGCATAGTGTGCTGAGTGGGCTCTCGCCTCGCTCCGTGGTGAACTCAAGTGAGGAGTCAATGCCCATCTTCCCTGCTGGAGCGCGAGCTCCCGGGAGAGGGACCTGGCAGGGGCTCCGCCCCATCTCTCGCCCTCACCTGGTCTGGGGGCAGAGAAGGTTCTTGTCAGAGGTTGGGTGAGCCAAGGAACTGAATGACTTTTTACTCCTTTCTGGTCTGGTTCCTTTCTGTCCTGGTGTTAGCCCCATTCTCTTTCCCCACTTCCTTCCTGATTACTGTTCTTTTATTCCCCCCACCCCCCCACCCCCATTTCTCCTGGTCACAGATTTTCCTTCCTTTCCTTAGATCTTTTCCTTCCCGTGTTCTTTCTCTCCTCTGCGTCTGGCCGCCCCGTTGTCCCTTCACCCCACCCCCGCCCCCACAAGGACGCCTCAGCCACTGGTTCCTCCTGGCAAACCTGGGATTCTGGAGTTTCTGGGGTGGGGGTTGAGTGAGGGGGGGGTGGGGGGGATCCCAGTTTATTCACTTGTTCCAGCCCTGGGCAAGGCACCCCTTTGGACAGAGCGTGGCTTGGGCACAGAAAGGATCCAGAATTACTCATTCAACAACACTTACATGTCAGGCACTTTGCACCGGGGTCTGGCCCGTCGGTGCCTGCCCTCACGGAACTTAATCTGGTAGAGACAGACGCGGATGAAATCACACAAATAAATAAACACGCGATGGCAGCTATCAAGGTCTTGAAGGAAAGGAGCCCAGAGCTCTGAGTGGCAGGCATCCCAGGGAGTCATCCCTGGACCTGGGGGCCCAGTA